TGCAGACCTTCTCTAGTTCCTTCTGCTGATGCTCAAATTCCTCCTTTTCTGCAGTCTGATTCTTATCAAGCCAGTTGATAATTTCATTGCACTTGTCAAGGATCTTCTGCTTGTCCTCGTCATTGATCTTGCCTTGAAGCTTTTCATCTTCAACTGTTGCTTTCATATTAAATGCATAAGATTCAAGGGAATTCTTAGAAGACACCTTATCTCTTTGCTTCTCATCTTCAGCTTTGTACTTCTCAGCCTCCTGGACCATTTGTTCAATGTCTTCCTTACTCAAGCGGCCCTTATCATTGGTGATGGTAATCTTGTTTTCTTTCCCAGTGCTCTTGTCAACAGCAGAAACATTAAGGATACCATTGGCATCAATATCAAATGTGACTTCAATCTGAGGAACACCACGAGGTGCAGGTAGTATCCCAGTGAGCTCAAACTTGCCAAGCATGTTGTTATCTTTGGTCATGGCACGCTCACCTTCATAAACCTGAATGAGTACACCAGGCTGGTTGTCAGGGAACTTCATGTTTCAAGTTCTGTATGAAGCATAGAGATTTCCCTGATGTTTTCCTGTACTTATGGATAAGAAAGACAATCTCACTACCTCAGATACAATAGACAATGCTCATTTTTTGGGGGTGAGGGATGGATGAGAGGGGAGTGACTAGGGGAAAATAAAAAAGGAATAAGGATATTAAATTCTTCTTCCCAAGGTGAAAATTCTGACCCTCTTCTTTTCCTGGGCAATTAAAATGTTGCACTAGATTTAGATCACATAACTTACTTGGACCTATAAACAACAAAGTTGGTATCAGCAGTCAGAAGATCGGGAGACACTGCATTAGAAAGATTTGCAACCAGTGACCTCTTGAAATGACAGAGGAGCTACGATATCAGTTTGAAGACTAAGGAGTGCCTCACTCAGGCCATGGACTTTTTCAATCACTTGCTATGCATCTGAGAGCTGGATAAGGATAACAGAAAAATAACTGATGCCTTTGTGTTGTAGTTGTAGAGTATATCCCATGGATTGCCAAAACAACAAACAAGATATGTCTTGGAGAAATTACACCCAGAATGCTATTTCGAGGCAAGGATGATGGAGCTTTGTCTCACATACTTTGGGCACGTTGTAAGGAGAGGTTATTACTTGAAGGGGGACATATGCTTGGCAGAATGGAGAGGCCAGTGAATGAGAGGAAGATCTTCAAGCAAATAGACTGCTATAGTGACTGCAGCAATGGGCTCAAGTGTGTCAGAGATTGACGAGGATGGCACAGCACAGGACAATAGTTCACATCTGTTGTTTACAGGGATGCTATGAGTTGTACTCTACTCAATACTCCCCAACAACAACCACCAAACAATTCTTAACCGACCAATTCTTTCTGGGAAATAGAACCAGTCCCTTCCTAACTGCCTCTCCAGCCAAGATCTACAGTCAATAACAGCTGAAGATTCATTGATGCAGTGGCCCTACCATCTTGTCCAACCAATTCATGCTGAACTTTTAAACAAGAGGACTACTGTTTTTGTTTTAAACCTTACAAGACTTTAAAAACTAAGTACTTAGATAATAATTAGAATAAAACAATAGTGGTGGGCAGAATGGAAATGGAAAAAAAGTAAAGGAGTAGTGTCTAACCACAAGTTTTTTCCCCAAGATATTTTTATATAAAAATCATTTCCTATAAATCAATTATTAAAAAGATATTTTAGAACAAATAATTTTAAATTCTAATGAAATAGTAAAAAGTACTCAACCTGTATAGCCATTAACATAGATGGCAACTCCACTAAAAATCGTAGATGAATTTCCATCCTTCTGTATAGCAGCATCTGACCGAAACTGTTCCTCCAATTTCTGGACCTTTGCAGCCATATACCCACCCTAGAATTAAAGAAAAAGCAATCTCAAAAGTTGCATTTTTTTCAGAATTTAAAAAAATAAAAACATCTAAAAAACCCCAAACACACAAAAAACAGTACAACTATGAGAACTATAGTTACAGCAAGACAGGGGCCATTTCAGTATTTTTAGTGACTTTTAATTACATGTGTCATGTTGTGCAGCTGTGACTATATGTTTCAGGACTTTTCATTTCAGTACCTTGAACCTATGTCCTCTTTTTAAAAAAAATAAATTTATATTTGGCAAGAAGATTTAGTCTGTGCTACTATCAAGGTACAACAATGACATTCTCAACATGAATCAAAAGGCAATGAAGCATGCAGGTCAGGGAAGACTTTATCCTAGCAACTCAATTTTTAGTAACTTTATTCTATTTTGTGTTATCATAAAAGTTACTTTTAAAGGAGAAAATTATGAAAAGCAAGAAAGTAATGCCACAAAATATTGTTCTTACTTAGAAAAACCAAGCAAAAGTCACACAAAATCTTAAACCAATCAAAATTTTGATGAACACTCAACACAAGTCTATGTCAGATGAGCTTCCATTTTCTCTCTAGTAAAAGGACAACTTATAATAAATTCAAGTAAAATGAAACAACTGGATAGAACAGCAGAGCTCTCCACCCAGGTGAATAAGAATATAATAAACATTCAGGAGTTAAATGCTAGATCCAATCAAGTTTATAGTGCTACTAATTTTTATTAGATGATATCAACCTCAAAAAGGATGTAAAAACACGAATTTGGGGGGGGAAAACCTTCTGAAATCTAAAAATCAGTTATACTTTTCTGAAACTTTCCATTTTAGGCTTGATTGCTTTGAATTGCAGTTTTGAATATTTTTTTTCTGTTCAAAACTATAGCAAACGAGTGAACTAACTCCGTTACTGTAAAATGAGTATAAGGATCGAAGAGGGGTGGGAGAGGCTGGAAGCAGAGGGATGTGGATGTACAGAGGGAAGAGGAGATTAATCACTGGATTGTGCAATTTGATGGGTGGGGAGGGTGAGGGAAAATGTAAATAATTTGCTCAAATTTCTATTAGAATTTTGTAAATAAACTAGTAATAAAATACATTAAAAAAATACAACTATAGTCTCTGAAAATCCACAGGCGGGTCAGCTGTGACTTAGTTCTGACTCTAAAGCAATGAATTTTTTTGTTTTAATTAAACCTGGAGGATGTATTTTTTTTTGCTTTCATTCATTTATTCATATACATTTCCTACCCTCCCGCCTCCCTTTTTGCTCTGTATTGCTTGCTCTGTTCTTAATTGTTAGTTTTCATACACGTAATGTCTAATTTTTAATTCTGACTGTCTAGCTCAGAAGCATGGTTAAGTCAACTTGTATTAGCTCATGTTTAAGAGGATCCCATTCTTTGTTTTTTAAAAAAACAGTGTAATTTCCATTTTATTTTCTTTCAGATGAGCTTTTACTTCAGCCTTTTAAGGAATCAAATCTTTACATGGGCTTTGGTGGAAGTCGAGGAGCAGCACCTGAAGATCTAAATCTGTGTAGCGGTCCTGGGATTCACAAGAATGGTTACTCTCCACCTTGCTGTGAATGGCACAACTCACACAGCAGTGCAGTCTCACAGAGAGCTTTGGAAGCACATATGCATCTGCCTCTATTGTATTTCAAATGATGAACTTCTTAATTGTCTTTTCGTTGGGCATGCAGTGGGCACAGTTTGTGCACTGAATAAGCTGTATGTGGCTACGGCCCTTTCTGGTAGAACCACTGTTTCCCTTTTTGTCATCTTGGAGGTGAGAACCAGAGAGCCCATTCTAACTTAAAGAAGAAAAACACGATACAAACAAGTGAATAAAACCACTCTGGAAAAGTGAAGCTCATTACTTGACTGCTTTACAGTTTGCAAATTGTAGAAACAGAGCCATTGCCGATCATCGAAGGACCAGTATGGTCTTCTGTGGTTCATCAGGTATCTTACACACAGTCACATCACAGCTTTTCTTCACTTGGACACTGACCATGTTTCCAAATGAGTCCAGAAGGGGCCTGGCTGGGTCCTGTTATCTTCAGGTGCTGTGGTCTTCAATGCTGACGGTAGTGAAGGTGCTAAATGTCTTGATAGAGAAGGTCATATTTGGGGATATTTTTAGGATCAATAGGGCTTTGGACAATAAGTTTTCCTCTCATTGCACCTCGATAGATTACTTCAATCAAATCTATGAAGTCTTGTTTGGTTTTGAAACTTCCCACAAACTTAGTATGATCTGGGGACCCATAATCTACTTTCATATGCTGCCCATTGAAGAAAAATACAGTGGATGGAATATAGCTGATGTCAAAATACTGAGTATAAACTGGGGTTTGGTCCACATCTACCAGGTATATAGAAGCCATTTTACTCAAGTCGGATGATGTCTTGGAAAGAATATCATCTAGCTGCAAGCAGACGGAATCCTCATCTCTTCCAAACCGGAGAACCAACACTTTCTCTGCGGTACCTTTTATGGCCTGGTCGACTTCTTTTTTGCTCATCAGCTTGGGCAACAGGAAGCTCATTTTGAAATAATCCAAATAATAATCCTTAGCGCTCAGCGGATCAACAACACTCAAGCTTCGGTCTTTCGACTTCACCAAGGATGTATTTTTTAAAAAGATGTTAATGATAATTGGTGACTGGAATGCAAAAGTTGGAAACAAGAATGGCTTGATAATCAGAATGTATGAACTTTGTGACAGAAATGAGGCTGGAAATATAATGATCAAATTGTGGAAAACAAAAACAAAACTATAGCAAAGTAAATATAGAGGCTGTACAAAATTAGTATCATATTTAATACTCCTTTATAACATATCCTTTAGTCAAGACCATCTTCCCAGATTAAGAAAAAAATTTAAAGGAGTTAATGACTGTGCAGAATCCATCAGCTATGATTTAAATATTTGTGGTTTCTTGTTTTTCAATATTAAGTTTTAACAAAATTAACATTTTTCTTCTGGATGAAACTCTTGGGACTAAAATTTGAGGTAACAGGTTAAGAGCTTTTCAAAGCATTGAATGCATTAACTTTGAAAATGTTTTAAAATATACACATGTGACAAATCAAATAATGTCTGAAGTGACTTAAAATTCAGAAAACACCTCAAATCAAACTATAAGATAAGAATGAAAAATACCTAGAAAGTTCAACACAATAATTTTTATTCTTTTAAAACACACCCATTTTTGCCAGCCATCATTTTCAGTTCGTTTCCTCCAACCACCTCGCCTCATGGTGGAGCGTCTGTATATGGGAAAGAAAGAGTGAGTCAGTTTTTCAGCATGACAGATTTTTAACTGTTATTTTAGTATCACAAGATTGAAAATGAAATTAAAATGTTCAATGCATGAAAGTTGTAACTAAGAATTGAGGCTTCTTTTTCTTATTCTCTTGCTTTAGAGGCAGAATTTGTTCCTAAATAGATCTTCCTAGGAAAATTGTTTTTATGTAAGTTCTTTATATTTCAATAGATAAATTTTCTACACATTATTGAACATCAATCCACATAATTCACTACTACCATGATCATTTGTACTTGATGTGAAAACATTAAGATTGTTGTTGTTAGGTACCCTCGAGATAAGTAAAACTCACAGCAGTGCTATAAAACTAGCCCTGAACTCAACCCATAGTCATTATATCAATCCATCTCATCAAAGGTCTTCCCTCTCCTGTGCTGACCCCCTCTATCTTTCCAAGCTTAATGTCATTCTCCAAGGACTGGCAACATGCCCAAAATGAGCGAGACAGAACTTCAAAATCCCTGCCTCCACAAAGCAAACTGATTTCATCCGATCAAGCACAGACCTGTTTGTTCTCTTGGAAGTCTATGGTATGTTCAATATTCTTCTCCAGCACCACAACTCAAAGGCATCGATGCCTCTTCTGTCATTCTTAGTCACCACTGTCCACTTCTCAGATGCACAACAATCAAGAAGACCATGGTCTAGATCAAATGCCCCTTAGTCTCTAGACTGACACTGTTGCTCTTCAGCATTCTGGAGAGGTCTCTGACAGCAGATTTTTCCTAAAGCAATTCATCTTTTGAATTCCTGATTGCTGGTGCCAATTGTGGGTTCAAGCAAGATGCAATTGTTAACAACCTCAATGTTTTCTTCACCTATCAAGATGTTGCCAATTGGCCTAGTGGCAAGGAGCTGCAACTACAATCCCAGAGGCGCACGGTTCGAATCCACCAGATGCTCTGCCAGGGAAGGAGGCACAATTTCCTCCTATACCAGTCAGATCTGATTTGACGGTACATGCACACAAAAATTAAAAAAAAAAAAAAAGATGTTGACAATTAAGACCTGATCTTCTAGCAGGTTTTAAGTTCTGTCTTTGCTAGTACACGTAAGTGCACACTCGTAGTATAGTTGATCCACTGTGCAAAAATATTAGAAGTAAATTACAACAACACATCATAGAAAATATGACAGAAATATTGCTGGTATAAACTACTAAACCTCTCCTTAAGACAACAATGGTCAACTATACAATCACCTAGATGACTGTGATTCATTTTATGTGTCAGTCTGCTGCACAGACAATGGTGATATTGGTCAAACACTAGTCTAGATGTTGCTGTAAAGGTATTCCACAGATGTGATTAACACTGCAAAAGTCAGTCCAAGTAAAATATGCTTAATAGTGTGGGTAGCCTTCATCCATTTAGTTGAAGGTGTTAAGACCAAAAACCTGGAGCTTTTTCTAGAGAGAAAGAATTTTGCCTCAAAAATTTAACGGGAGTTCCCTGATTTATGGATTCTGAGCTTGCTAGCCCCACAATCACATGAGGCAATTCCTTAATATTTTCTTTCTCAACACTATACATAACGCTTTTGGACTACTTCTCTGGACAACCCTAACACAATGCTAAATGATGGTTTAAGTTTCAGTTGGCTCTGTGGCCAAAAGATGGCTTATAAAATCAAAGAAGCATTTAAAATCTGAAATTCTTCTAACCCAAATGCCTACAGGTGATTCTGTACAGACAAATTTCAGACACAACAGCACTACCCTTAAAAAAAAAATTATGACTTCCATTTTGTTGTCTTTTTTAAACTATCTGTTAATAGCAGATAGCTGCAAAATCAAATTAGCTTTGATATGGTTTATATTTTACTGAATTATGCCTTAAAATAAGAACTTTTCAGCCAAGCATACTAACCAATGTTTTCTTTGAAACGTTGGTATTCTTGGTATATTATAGGACTTAGCTACTATAGTAAGTACTTAGTATAGTATAGCTACAGTTGTTATTGTCTACTGAAGATGCCTAAAGGACATGTAGAGATAACTTTGTCAGAGTTGAGGCCAGTATGCTATTGTTAGGTGATTTCTAGTCAAGCATGACTCATAGCGCGACCCTATGAATAGATGTAAATGAACCCAGCCCTATCCCGTACATCCTCATAATTTCTGACTACTGTGCTCAATGATGTAGTCACTACGTCAATCCGTCTTGTTGAGGGTCATCTTCCTTCCCTGATCCTCTATCTTTCCAAACATGATGTCCCTCTCCCAGGAATATTGTTGTTGTGTATTGTCAAGTCAGAACTGACCCACAGCTGACCCTCCAGCTGGTTTTCAGAGGCAGTTAATCACAAAGGAGGAAACTCCGTATCTTACCCCACGAAGCAGCTGGTGGATATGCACTGCCTAACTTGGGGTTGCCAGCACAACTCCTCACCACTGGGTCACCAGAGATCACATAACCAAACTTATGTAAGGCGAAGCTTCACCATCCTCATCTCTAAGGAACACTCGTGTGTATTTTCTCAAAGACACTCTTTTTTAGCAGTCGATGGGATATTCACTACTGTTCTCTAATACCACAGCTCAAAGGCACCAATTCTTCTGCCATCTTATTCACTGTCCAGATTTCAGACATAGAAGTGACTGAAAAGACCATGTCCTGAATCAAGTGCACCTTAGTGTACAAAGTGACTGCTGGTACCCAAGATGTTGACTATGAATCCAAGTAAGATGAAATACTTGACAGCTTTAATCTTCTCTCCAACTAGAATGATGTTTCTTATCAGTCCAGTGGTGAGGATTTTTGTCTTCTTGATGTTGAGATGCAATCACTGAAGGCTGTAGTCTCTGATCTTTTGCAGTAAGTGCTTCAAGTCCACTTCACTGTCAGCTGGCAAGGTTGTGTCATCTGTGTAACAATGGAGGTTGATAAACCTCCCTCTGATCCTGAAGTCGCATTCCTCCTCTTCATAACATCCAACTTATTGAATGATTTGCTCACTATACAGATGAAATACGTATGGAAAAAGGATACAGCTCTGATATCACCTTTATTAACCTTAAACCATGCAGTGTTCTCATGTTCTGTTCAGACAGTAATATCTTGGTCTAGGTTTCATATGACCATAATGAAGTGTTCAGGATAATGTGTTGTGATCCACACAATCAAATATTTTGCATAATAAATCAAGCACAAACAGACATCCTTCTGGTATTCTATGTTTTCAGTCAACATTCATCTGACCCCAGCAATCATATTCCTGGTGCCATAGCCTTTTCTAAACGCAGCTTCAACTTTTGGAAGTTCTCTGTCAATATACTGTTCTAGCTGTTTTGGGATGATCTTTATGTGATATTAATTATACTTGTCAATAATGTCTATATTCTCTTGGATCACCTTTCTTGGGAATGGGAGCAAATATGGGTTTCTTCCAGTCAGTTGGTCAGGTAGCTGCCCTCCAAATTTTCTAGCATAGACTGGTTAGCACATCCAGGGCTGCATCTGTTAGCTGAAACATGTCAAATGGTAGTCACAAATTCCTGGGGCCTTATTTTTTGCCAATGCCTTCAGTGCAGCTTGAACTCCTTTCTTCATTAACACTGGTGCTTAAAAATATGGTATGTTGTTATGTGCTGCTGAGTTGCTTGTGACTCATAGTACAACAGCCCTGAACTCTGCCAATCTCATCTTCTGACACTCCTACCCCTATTACCCCAGTCACTGAGTCAATTAATCTCATCCAGGGTCTTCCTCTCCTGAGCTTTCCCTCCACCCTTCCAAGCATAATATTCTTCTCTGAAGACTGGTCCCTCCTTGCAACATGCTCCAAGTATGTCAGACGAAGCTTCAGAATCAAATCAAGAACACAAAGATTCTCACCACTGGGCCAATTGGCAGCATGATGATAGATGGTTAAGAGATTTAGATTGTTAACAGCTTTAGTTTGCTTGGGTCCACAATCAACACTCTTGGCATCAGCAGCCAGGAAATTACAAGACATATTGTAATGGGAAAGTCGGCTGTTCGAGACCTCTCCAAAGTACTGAAAAGCAATGATGTCAGTCTGGAGACGAAGGTCAGCCTGATAAAGCCATGGTCTTTGCAATCACTTGTTATGCATCAGAGAGCTGGACAATGACTAGGGAGGATAAAAGAATTGATGCCTTTGAGCTGTGGTGTTGAAGAAGAGTACTGAATATACCATGGACTTCTAAGAAAACAAACAGGTTTTTCCTAGAGAGGGTTAAACCAGGCTGCTCCTTCGAGGCAAGGATTCTGAAGTTTCATCTTGGAGAGGGAGGTCATGCTTGGGAGGGTGGAGAGACAGCTCAAGAAAGGAAAACATTCTATGAGATGGACTGATTCAGTGACTGGGCTAATGGGGGTAGGTGTGTAAGAGACAGTGAGATTGACACAGGACAGAGCAGGGTTTAGGGCTGTTATAAATAGGGTCGCAGGTGACTCAATGGTACATAACAATAACAACAACAACAACAACAATAACAACAACATTTTAGTGCCTTCAAAAAATTGACTAGAAACGTTGAGGTATCATCAGAAATAAGGTTTTGTACTGGGCATAAACAATATGCAAAAACCATTATTCAACTTTAAAATAATAATCTTGGACAGTATAAGTAAACTCAAGTGCTAGAAATAATTTACTAAAACCTTTTTATCAATCAATAGATTGTTATCAACCCTTTCACCCCACTAATAAAGCCTTTTTATTTTGTCTCCTTCTACTTAACTGAATTAATTAAAAGGTTTGGGAGTTAAAATTATTGCTTTTGAAATACAATACCATCTACAACATCTTTCTGTAAATAAAGTAACTCAAATGAAAAACCAAGCAAAGTTTTAAGCAGTACTATATAAATAGTATCATAATAATAAATCTGGAAGCAGGAGTGGCATTCACTTCCTAAACATGCCTCAATGAACTTTGATAAAAGACAACAGTTACAGAAAGGCTTCAGG